AATCTCAGAAATAGAATGGAGGTACAGATTGAGAAAACACAAAAAATGTTTAAAAAAGAACTAGAAAAACTAAAGAACAAACAAACAGAGATGAACAACACAATATCTGAAATGAAAAACACACTAGAAGGAATCAGTAACAGAATAACGGAGGCAGAAAAACGAGTAAGTGAGCTGAAAGACAAAATGGTGGAAATAACTGCCAAGGAGCAGAATAAAGAAAACAAGAATGAAAAGAATTGAAGACAATCTCAGAGAACACTGGGACAACACTACATGCACCAACGTTCAAATTATAGGGGTCACAGAAGAAGAAGAGAAAAAGAAAGGGGCTGAGAAAACATTTGAAGAGATTATAGTCGAAAATGTCCCTAATACGGGAAAGGAAATAGCCACTCAAGTCCAAGAAGCACAGAGAGTCCCACACAGGATAAACCCTAGGAAAAACACACCAGGACACATATTAATCAAACTAACAAAAATTAAATTCAAAGAAAAAATATTAAAAGCAGCAATGGAAAAACAAAAAATAACATACAAAGGAATCCCCATAAGGTTATCAGATGATTTTCCAGCAGAAACTCTGCAGGCCAGAAGGGAGTGGCAGGGCATACTTAAAGTGATGAAAGAGAAAAACCTACAATCACCAAGATTACCCTACCCAGCAAGGATCTCATTCAGAGTCGACAGAGAAGTCAAAAGCTTTTCAGACAAGCAAATTCTAAGAGAATTCAGTACCACCAAACCAGCTTTACAACAAATGCTAAAGAAACTTCTCAAAGCTGGAAACACAAGAGAAGAAAAAGACCCACAAAAACAAACCCAAAACGATTAAGAAAATGGTAATAGGAACATACATATTGATAATAACCTTGAATGTAAATGGATTAAATGCTCCAACCAAAAGACACAGACTGGCTGAATGGATACAAAAACAAGACCCATATATATGCTGTCTACAAGAGACCCACTTCAGACCCAGTGACACATACAGAATGAAAGTGAAGGGATGGAAAAAGATATTCCATGTAAATGGAATTCAAAAAAAGTTGGAGTAGCAACACTCATATCAGATAAAATAGACTTTAAAATAGAGACTCTTTTTGCGGTACGCTGGCTCCTCACTGTTGTGGCCTCTCGCGTTGCGGAGCACAGGCTCTGGACATGCAGGCTCAGCAGCCATGGCTCACAGGCCCAGCCGCTCCATGGCATGTGGGATCTTCCCGGACCTGGGCACGAACCCGTGTCCCCTGCATTGGCAGGCGGACTCTCAACCACTGCGCCACCAGGGAAGCCCAAGATTCCTGGTTCTTGAACAGCCATAATTTTCCAAGTGAGATTTATCCCAGGGATGCAAGGATTCTTCAATATACGCAAATCAATCAATGTGATACACCATATTAACAAATTAAGGAATAAAAACCCATATGATCATCTCAGTAGATGCAGAAAAAGCTTTTGACAAAATTCAACACCCATTTAGGATAAAAACTCTCCAGAAAATGGGCATAGCGGGAACCTACCTCAACATAATAAAGGCCATATATGACAAACCCACAGCAAGCATCATACTCAGTGGTGAAAAACTGAAAGCATTTCCTCTAAGATCAGGAATAAGACAAGGATGTCCATTCTCGCCACTCTTATTCAACATAGGTTTGGAAGTCCTACCACAGCAATCAGAGAAGAAAAAGAAAGAAAAGGAATACAAATTGGAAAAGAAGAAGTAAACCTGCCACTGTTTGCGGATGACATGATACTATAGATAGATAATCCTAAAGATGCCACCAGAAAAATACTAGAACTAATCAATGAATTTGGTAAGGTTGCAGGATACAAAATTAATGCACAGAAATTCCTGGCATTCCTACATACCAACAATGAAAAATCAGAAAAGAGAAATTAATGAAAGAATCCCATTTACCATCCCCCCCAAAAGAATAAAATACCTAGGAATAAACCTGCCTAAGGAGGTGAAAGACTTGTACTAAGAAATCTATAAAACACTGATGAAAGATTTCAAAGATGACATAAACAGAAAGAAATATACCATGTTCTTGGATTGGAAGAATCAATACTGTGAAAATGACTATATGACCCAAAGCAATCTACAGATTCAATGCAATCCCTATCAAACTACCAATGGCATTCTTCACAGAATTAGAACAAAAAATTTTACAATTCGTATGGAAACACTAAAGACCCCAAATAGCCAAAGCAATCTTGAGAAAGAAAAACGGAGCTGGAGGAATCAGGCTCCCCTACATCAAACTATACCACAAAGCTACAGTAATCAAGACAGTATGGTACTGGCACAGAAACAGAAATATAGATCAATGGTACAGGATAGAATGCCCAGAAATAAACCCATGCACATATGGTCACCTAATTTACGACCAGGGAGGTAAGAACATACAATGGCGAAAGGATAGCCTCTTCAATACATGGTGCTGGGAAAACTGGACAGCTACATGTAAAAGAATGAAATTAAAACACTACCTAACACCATACATAAAAATAAACTCCAAATGGATTAAAGACCTAAATGTAACACCAGACACTATAAAACTCTTAGAGGAAAACACAGGAAAAACACGCTTTAACATAAACCACAGCAAGATCTTTCTTGACCCACCTCCTAGAGTAAATAAAATAAAAATAAACAAATGGGACTTAATTAAACTTCAAAGTTTTTCCCAGCAAAGGAAACCATAAACAAGACAAAAAGACAACCTTCAGAATGGGAGAAAATATTTGCAAATGAAACAACAAAGGATTAATCTCCAAAACATACAAACAGTTCATGGAGTTCAATATGAAAATAAACAACCCAATTAACAACTGGGCGGAAGACCTAAATAGACATTTCACCAAGGAAGACATACAGATGGCCAAGGGGCATATGAAAAGATGCTCAATATCACTAATTATTAGAGAAATGCAAATCAAAACTACAATGAGGTATCAACTCACACCAGTCAGAATGGCTAATATCAAAAAATCTAGAAACAAAGAATGCTGGAAAAGGTGTGGTAAAAAGGGAACCCTCCTGCACTGTTGGTGGGAATGTAAATTGATACAACTATTGAAAACAGTATGGAGGTTCCTTAAAAAACTAAAAACAGAACTACCATATGACCCTGCAATCCCACTACTGGGCATACACCCTGAGAAAACCATAATTCCAAAAGAGACGTGTGCCACAATATTCACTGCAGCACTATTTACAATAGCCAGGACATGGAAGCAACCTAAATGTCCACTGACAGATGAATGGTTAAAGAAGATGTGGCACATATATACAATGGAGTACTACTTAGCCATAAAAAGGAATGAAATTGAGTTATTTGTAGTTAGGTGGATGGACCTAGAGTCTGTTATATAGAGTGAAGTAAGTCAGAAAGAGAAAAACAAATACCGTATTCTAATGCACATATATGGAATGTAAAAAAAAAAAAAAAGGGTACTGATGAACCTAGTTGCAGGGCAGGAAAAAAGATGTATACATAGGGCTTCCCTGGTGGCGCAGTGGTTGAGAGTCCGCCTGCCGATGCAGGAGACGCGGGTTCGTGCCCCGGGCCGGTAGGATCCCACATGCCATGGAGCGGCTGGGCCCGTGAGCCATGGCTGCTGAGCCTGCGCATCCGGAGCCTGTGCTCCGCAATGGAAGAGGCCACAACAGTGAGGGGCCCGCGTACCGACAAAAAAAAAAAAAAGATGTATACATAGAGAATGGACTTGAGGACATGGGGTGGGAGGGGGAAGATGGGGAGAAGTGAGAGTAGCATCGACATATATACACTACCGAATGTAAAATAGTTAGCTAGAGGGAAGCAGCAGCATAGCACAGGGAGATCAGCTTGGTGCTTTGCAATGACCTAGAGGGGTGCAATAGGGAGGATGGGAGGGAGGCTCAGGAGGGAGGGGATATGGGGACATATGTATGCATATGGCTGATTCACTTTGTTGTACAACAGAAACTAACAGTATTGTGAAGCAATTATACTCCAATAAAGATCTATTAAAAATAAATACATTTAAAAAATAAATAAATAAATAAAATAAAATCACCGCTCGAGTCTCATACTATGGATTTTCACAGTTGGAAATCAATTCCAACGTAAAAAATATTGTCAATAGCAGATCTTATTTTTTCCTTTCTAGAATAAAAATGGCAGAAAATTTTTCTTCTGCTTTCTTAAATACAGTCTAACTTTTTTACCATTCTTCTTCTATGTCAACGATACTCCTTGCCACTCCTGTATATGTTTGTATATGGAGAGGCAGATTTTACTAACTGCTTAACAAATAACCAACAGGGAAAAGAAGCTGGTTTCAGACATTTTCCAAACATAAAGGCACGGCAATTTGAACAGTTCATGCTTTACTACGGAGAAGACCTCACAGTATACAGCACAGCCTAAAATCTTTCACCTGTAAAGTTCTCAGGTTTTTCCTCTGTAGGTTGCTTTTGTTTTTTTTTTTTAAAAAAAAAAAAAAAAAGTTAGTCCCCTGGTGGACTAACCACTGGTGGTCCAGTGGTTAAGACTCCGCATTCCCAATGCAGGGGTAACAGGTTCGATCCCTGGTCAGGGAACTAAGATCCCGCATGCTTCATGGAGTGGCCAAAAAATAAAATAAAATAAACCATCTATAGATTTCAAATAATACAATTAAAGAAAAAAAGAATTAGAATGTAATATCAGTAAGTATCACCCTAACAGGGGAGACAAAAACTTGTCCTATAAAGTAGACAGGCCTAGTAATAAGCCTTTTAAACCCCTTTAAAGCTTTGTAGGTGAAAAAGAAAAAATTCTGTTTCCGGGTAAGCCTAGCATATATACATTTTGAAATATTCAAAACATTTAAAAGTAAAGTATTATGTAAAAATTAATCACTTTTGTGATATATATATATATATATATATATATATATATATATATATATATATATATCTGCTACGTGTTTCTCTTTCTAAGACCAAAAACATAACTTCATACCTCATAATCTGGTCCTCCAAAGTGAGATTTTTTCTTAAGTTCTGTCATGGCATTTTTGTATGCTTCCTCTATTCTTCTTCTCTTCTCACTTTCCTATTTAAAAAAAAAAGCAAGTGAAAAATTTATCATGTCAGTGGGATTTTCTCTACATTTCATCAAAATTTTATAACTTGGCCCCAAAATAACTCCACTTCTGTGAAAAATGAGTATTCTTCTGCCCAAGAAAACACATTTTTCTGGGCTATATATCACATACAAGCTACCACTTAAAATACCACTAAGATCACCTCATAGGTAGGTTATATATTTAAATGGATTAAGTAACTACCAAAGTGTCTACACTTCAAAAAAAAGGATAAATTAGCACCAGAGAAATGCCTACAATATATATTCATGTGTTTGTTTCCCCCAGTAGGAGCTAAATTAATTTTGTTATAGACAAAAAGTCAAGTAATGGATGCCAGGAAGAAAATAACTCAATTATTGGTAGAATCAATAAATGCAAAAAGATATTCTAAAGAAAGATACCTTTCTTATACTTTCCAACTGCTGGTTAAAATTATTTTAGAACTGAAAAAGAGCTTAGATTTCTACTTTAACCTTCTCCTTTTATAGACAGGTTCTATGGCTCTAAGAGTTTGCGCAAAGATCCAAAGACAAAATGTAAAAAGGCTGGCCTTGACACCAACCTCAAACTTTTTTTTTTACAACAATGGACTACAATGAGTCAAATGTGATATTAAAGCCCTACAAACTTATAAAGAACCTAATGCCTTTATTGCCTCACCTCAAATATTTAAAGGGCTAAAGTAAAGTCCACACCGAACTCACCCAGAGCTTAACTACTTCTAAAAACCCTACCTGAATTAAGCTAGTGCAAATCAATGAATTAGTTCAGTAGGCCCAAAGATTAACTGATTTTTGTGTACTGAAGAGAAAACAGGACTACAGACCCATCAGAATGGCTAAAATTTAAAAACACAAAAAATCACCCACAAAATAAATGACAATACCAAGTGTTGTCAAGGGTGAAGAGCAACCGGAATTCTCATCTACTGCTGGTGGGAATATAAACTGATATAACCACTTTGGAAAATTGTTTGCCTCTACCCACTAAAGCTAAGCATATACCTCGTGAATCAATAATTTTACTGCTTGGTATGTGCCCAAGAGAAAAGAGTGCATATATCCACCAAAAGATATGTACAAGAATGCTCACAGCAGCTTTATTCAC